AGTAAGAGTGAAGAAATTGAGTTTTTTATGTGCGTAATTATAAAATAATAAAGAAAATCCAACATTAGGCTCCTGTAGTCTCACTTAGAAGGAGCTTTTTTCTATCTTTATTTACTTTTGTAAAAACTAAAACAAATTGTGCCAGTAGAAAGAATACTTTTAGTTGGGGATTCTTGCAATGTCAAAAGGAGTTTCTTTACCATGTTTTCGCGACTGTGTTTCCATGCTTTTGAAACTGCATGTGTTCGATCTCCCACGTGTTCGTATGTATTTAAAGTATGCGTTTTTGTGATTTCCGATTTTTAATAATACATCAATCTTTCAACCCTCTTAAGGCTTTGCCTTCTTTATTTTCATTTCGAGAGAGTGATACAGGTTTCTCTCGTTGAATTTTTTTATGGCTATAAGAGTAAGCCACAAAATGGTTTGCAATTTCCTCTTTTCTTTTTTTTTCTTTTTTTTCTTAATTGAAGTTATGCTGAAGAGGTCACATCCAAAAACTTGAGTTCCAAAAAATACTATACTCTTTGAACTGATATTAGTTGAGGGAATAAATGGACGATATGCTGCTCATACAGGAGTATAAAATCTTCTGGTTTAAATGAATTTCTATCAATCCAGTCGGTGCTTCGTTATTCAGCAATGATCATCAAGACTTGATTTGTAAGGAATCATTGCTCCAAAATCCAACATGCCCTAATGATAGGATCATAATACACTTTCATGCAATGGGTGCAGTTACAGCTAGAGGAAGTGAAGACTCATGCATCAAATTAGTTGTAGTAGCTGAGCACCGTATACAGAGTCTGAACCACCGTTAGTAGCAGTAGGAATACCGCTGCCAGCAACGATATAAGCGTCCATGGGTCACTAAGGTAGGTGTGGATGAAGTATGCCCCCCACCTGTTACGACGCTTCTTGCAATAGCGGATGAGCCTGGTCCGTACCCCCATCAAGTGGGGATTCTCAGAAAAGACTATGCCCTTGGTGACCTTGTTGAAGACATCAGCCACATGTTCATCACTTCCCATCCTATTTTCTATGATTCCGGAAGAAACTAGCAGTTCAATATCCTTGGTTGTATCTATCAGATCATCCAAAAAGCTTATATATGAGCAGACACAGTTCGAATTCCTGACATTCAACTGCTCAAATGCCATCACATTCAAAAAAAAGGCTTCCTGTAACATAATGTACGATACAATTAAAAAAAAAATAGAATTAATTTTTTGTTTTTCTCATTTTTTCAATTCTCAAGGTATGTGTGTTTTTTAACAATTTATTTTCTTTCGTCTCAAGGTGTGAGTTCTATAAAAACTCAAAAAAAAAAAAAAAAAAAAATTGAATTTTTGTTTTAATTTTTTCTTATAAATCAAGCCCACCTCTTGGAGGCACACCATAGTGCCTACCGCATTGGATACATGCAATATGTGTCAAACTAATCGTAGAACTTTGCATTGAAAAAATAAAATAAAGCAAAATACTTCGATGCACTCAAGGTTTCCATTTCTATAATGTATTCAATCCATCGAAAACACTTGTTAAGTTGTCTAAGGTGATTTTTCCAACATGAAAGGTGTTTGCATTCAGTTGTTGCAAAAATAGATATATAAAGATCAAAATAAGAAATCTGAGGTCTCTTTCAATTATGTTTTTTTGGTCTTTTGTAAATACAAAAAACTAAAAAATTTACAGTATCCTACTTTTCGGTTATAATAATACCTAGTGATCCGGTTCAGGGCTTGGTTGAAAGTAGTAATGATGTTTAAAGCGCCCTGACTAGGAAGTGGTGGTCATTTCCCTAGCCTTGGACGATTCCCCGACTCCAACCAGGCTATATTATAAAAAAAACCAGAATAGAAAAATAGAGAAAATAAAAATCAGGCATATCTAAAGATTTCTAGACTAGAACCATTCATCTTTTGAATCCGACCGAATTTGGTAGAATTTGAGCTAGATCGAGATGTTTGAATCACTATGATATCGTGTTGATGTTTGCAACACTATATCCATTATGTTTGCAATCATGTCCATCCCACCTCAATATATGTACCAATTGGTGATTAGAATCACATTGGTCATTAAACCTGGGAAAGGTTTGGTCTAGTTAAAATTGGTTCGACCGTTACTTTAAAAAGTAAAAATGGAATATTCATCAAGAAAAGAATTTTTTCAATTTTTGGATGAGTTTTATAATCAAATATTAGTTCCATTATATTTTTAACCAAATATAATTTTTGTTTTGGACTAGACCAATCATAGTCCAACCAACCAATTGCATAGTACCAATTGAGAGTCCAACCAATCGCAGAAACTGGTTTGCTCCAATCACAAGAACTATGATACGTACCGTAGATCCATGAATGGCTATCCATGGCAGCCGTAGCACTCCATGGTCGAAGGTGATGTTCGTGAGCCCACTCATGCTGCTAATTTCGAACCTCACCCCAGCTTCATGCAACGCTGTGGCCGAGGGCAACTTCTTGAAATATGGCTCCGGGTCGCTCAACTCCTCGATCTCAGGGATGTTGCCGATGAGACTGTTCATAATGTAAACTTGTAGGGCATGCAACCCCATCTTGCCCTCGGAAACCTCCCCTTGGATCTCCTCCCCTAATAACTCAAGCATCAGCTCATTCACCCGGGTGCGGATCCCTGTTCCAAGCGGGTCCAACAGAGTGTTCAAGACCATCAAAGGGATCTGATTCTCCAGCATCATAAGGTCATGATTGTGGTGGTGAGCAAAGAACAATGCCAATTTTGAGCCGAACACCGGATCCTCAGCTGCGTAGCCTGTCTCACCGTCTGTTTGGCTGACACGGTGGAGTTCAAGAAGGAAACAGCCATCAAGCAGCATCATGTTAAGGAACTCGACGCTCTCGGGAGGGGCCAGGTCGCATGGCCACTCGTAGCAGTCCCGGATTGCCTGCTCCTTGGCTTGGAGTGCATCAAGGTAGACTTTGAGGGGGTGCTCCGAGCGGTTGAGAAAGTGGAGGAGCGCCCGACGCTTGTGTTGCTCCATGGGTTGGAGGTGCGGCGAGCCATGGTGAAAGGGGCCCAATGATACAACCCTGGGAATGAAGGCTTCGTTGTGGAGCTCTTTGAGGAAGCGTGGGACTTTGTAAATGCAACGTTGTTTCCATTCCTCGGCCTCTTCCTCCCTGTTCATACTGAGCTTCCCATTCATCAAATCCAACATCCATTGTGTCTGTGATTGCTCCCTTCTTCTTCCAACCATATTTGTTTCTTGTGTCATGAACCTGTAGAGCTTGAGAGGCCGTACTTTGATGTACAGGCTTCTTCAGAGCTTTTGATACGCTATGCTTTGATAAATAGGCCCTGAGACCACACATAAAATGATGTTTTCCGAATCGGACCACACTGAATCGGTGACCGCACAGGTCTGGTTGGGCCGATTCACTGGTCTGACTGGTATAAGAAATTAAAAAAGTTAAAAATAACAAAAAAATTTGGGAAAAACAAAAAAAATGAAAGAAGAAAGGGAAAATTCTAAAAAAAAAAAATCAAAATAATATTACAAATAATCAATCCAGCTAAAACTAAAGACAAACGCCCTTTCTCAATTCTATCCAAGAAAAAAATCAATCCCCTAAAATTTCTCTTCACAAAAGTACTCGCCCTCTCTCTACGAAACCTATGCGACCATTTCCTAACTTCTTTCTCTCTCTAATCTTTCTCCATTTTTTTTGTGGCACTGAAGGAGTATTCAATTTCAAACAATTTACATTATTGACGGATTATCGCCGGAATATTGCCGGAAAGTAAAGCACAATCTTTTTCCTAAACCCTACAAAAGGAAAAACAAGAAAAAAAAAAAAAACTCACTATTTTTGTATTTTTCAATATAAATATTAAGACAAGAAAGAAAAAAAAACTAACCTGGTACGAGCTTCCGGACAAAGTCTGCCGGCAACGTTACAAGAATCTCGCCGGAAAACTTGCCATAAGCCAAGAGGCTTAAGACAGAAAGGATCGAGCCCGCCCTTGTCTCTCTTAATCTCTTTCTAACAAAGAGGCCTAAGTGCAATTTTCATCTTTTACCCTTTCTAAACTCAATAAGACAAAAACGTCCCCTGCTGCCGTTCTTTTACCAATGGATAACGTAACGGGCGGGAAATATCAGGGGAGTGTTCTATAAAGAAGTAAAACGATTTTATGGTTCTGCAAGAACCATCTGTCCGTTTGGTCGCTCAGTTGAAAGCTAAGCAAGGAGGACCTCATATTTGTTTGGTACTCATCTTGGACCAATCTCCTCAAAGAATTCAAATCATACACATGATGACTTTAGAAAAATAAAAACAAAAAAAAATTCCGCATGGTACAATTTTTGAAGGGCAAGATCTAAGAGTGGAGAAACTCGGAATTTTATTGTTAAAAATCTTTTGGTGATTCATGGATGGATCTCACAATTTAATTAAAAAAAAAGAAGAAATCTATAAGTACGCTCATATTTAGACCATGCTATATATGCCATTATAACAATTTTGGGGCGTTACAATAGATCAAAATGTTCAAGAACTCAAATATCTTTTTTTTTTTTTTTGGGGGAAAATAATCACCTCGCAATTAATATATAGTTCTTAAAATTTCATTAAATGGATAAAAAAGCAAGTCTATTTCCCAAAGGACTGTATCTCCCATAGAAGCATGCTATTCACACGATTATTAAACATTTTTGTCAATTCGCTTAGTTAACTCCAATGCTCAAGACCGGTGAGGCTGGTCCATCTGTCCAAGTCCTACATTGAAATCGGCGAGTCATATATATATATATATATATATATTACTTTTAAAAAAATATTGGAAACTCCTGGATTTACAGGTTCGGAAGGTTTTAAATGGCTTTCCAATCTCAGCCTGCAAATCCATAAGCTATTTCATATAAATCACGGGAAAATCTTATCAAAATTTTGAACAAAAGTCCCTAATTTGCAAAATCCAAATCCACGATATTTGGGTTGTTTAGAATTAAAGCATCCAAAAATTTCAACTATTTAACATTTTATGGGCCAAAGGAATCTTTCATGGGATTTTATTAAAATACCAAAACTTATCAACTCATTTTACCCATCTCTTTTGGTTTATTTTCAAAAAATCCATCGAGATACACATAATCATGAGTTTGAATAGTTGAAAATCGATAAAATGTTAGATAGTTGATATGTTGGGTTTTTCCTTTTTTCTATTTTAAATGTTGGGAATCATTCAGGAATCACTAATAATTATTTTCAAAAAATAGAAACGGGACGTTTGAGTTTCTAACCATTCAAATATTGAACTGCCCCAGTTTAATAATTTGAAATTAAATTTTTCAGACACTAAGTCCAATTGAATTATTTTTTATTTTTTATTTTTTTGACAATTGTCACTAGATCTAAGAGGCTGTATCCCCAAATTTTGGGTCATAACTCATAAAAGTGTACTTATAGGAGGGAGTAAATGGATTTTTAAAGTCCCTTTTTTCTTATAAAAGTAAGTTCTAGCCCAATATTGGGAACTGAAAATTACTAATAAGTTTTAATCCGAATGAGTAAATGAACGATATGCTCTGCCGGGAGCATGAAATCTTTTGGCATTTAGTTAATCAGAAAAATACAAAAAAACATCACACATTCGTATACTCAGCAGCTCATCACTCCATCAATTTCCTAAGGTCTTAAGCTACATACCACCTACACCTCCTCCGCTTTTGAAAAGTCTTAGATACCACCTCTTAGAACGCACAAAAGTCTGAACCTAATTAATTAAACTATTATTTAAAGGAAAAAGTTTATATGAGGTTGCAATCTTAAAATTTAGAATTACAAATGCATCTCAAAAATCCATCGGAAAATGTTGTTTTAATGTTGAAAGACCCTCTAATTGATCATCTCGACGTCGAGATGAGATGTATTAATATATGTAAAAAAATTGAATCCAAAAAATAATACATCTTGCGACACATTATCTAGGCCGTCCATTCTCAAGATTTTCATATGTTTATAGATCTACTTAATTTTAATCATTTTTTAAATTTAAAATTTTATAATTAGATGTGGAAATAGACTTTTATATAATCTTAAGAATTTTTTATACCAAAATTACATGTCATGATAAAATTTAGAGATGTGTCTTAATTAGATTGTTTAAGATTGCAACGTTATAGAAACTGCACCCTTACTTTAAAAAACAAAGCTCGAGCGGTGGTATATTACAAGATAATATTTTGGATCAAAGTGGGCCTACTTTATGCGTAAGAGAGATTTGTATTGGACATGCTTTAGTTGGTTTTGTATTAAAATTGTTGACTCTTTAAGTTTGTTGTTTGGTTTATATTTTGCCATTTGTTGTAACTCTTTGTTTATTGTCATTATCATCGGTGTCTTATTCCAACTAACTAAACTACAAGTCATCAGTATCATCATCGTCTTTTCCCAATTATTTGAGATCAACTAAAAATCATTAAATTACAAAAACATTTAGTAAAATATTTCACATAGGTTTTCTAGACATGAAGAAAGATATTCAAGCAAGAGGATAACTACTTCGTAGTGAATTGCCATTGGATTAAAGAGGAGTTAATATGATTTAGACCAAAGTAAACCTATATTAATGTATAATGACAATATAGGGAAATTTATGTACACACAAAATTGTACACATTATTATAAAATGACTATTTGATTTCCTCCAATTAGCATCATGCCACTGTGCTAATTGAAGCTCCATTCCACCTAAAACCTAATCTCTCAACTCACTCTCTCTTACCACTATTTGCAATAAAGAAATCAAACTAGGCCTTAAAATCTGCATTGATGCGTATCATGAGAAACAGGATCCAAGTATTTGACATGAAAAACGAGACAAATGAGACTGAAAGCAGGGGCATGGATCACACAAATACGTAGCATCGGAGAGAAAGAAGTGGAGCATGATATTTACAAAAAGGGAAATGTTTCTATGCTTCCCCTACTATCTGCCGTCCAATTTTGATCAAGAGAGTCACTCACCGTTTGATCTTAGATCCGACGTCTCAAAGTATTTTATTTTCATTATTTTTATACAAATTATATGAATATAAAATTTGGTACATGTCATCTTCTTATTGAGGCGCACCTATAAAAAAAATATTAAAAATAAATTTTCGATAAAATATAACTACCAAAATACCTTTTAAAATTTCTAGAGGTATTTTGGTCATTTTATTTTATTAGAAATATTTTTTTTCTATTTTTTGCTGGTGCGAGTTTAATAGAGGATTGGACGTACAAATTTTGGTGTCAAACTAGCTTATAGAAAAGAAAATGAAAAATAAAATAATATAGAAACATGACATTGTGATTGGGGCAATCTTAGCCCTCCATTCAGAATGGATGGCTAGATAAGGGAGAAGCACATAAGTTTTATTCTATAGAGGAAGCATAGAAAGCTTGCTCTTTACAAAAAAATAGAAAAATACACCTTTTTAATAGATAAAATTTTATTTATTTTAAAAATAAGTTTATATAAGGGTGAGGGCGTAAAAAAAAAGGGGCATGCGTGGAAAATCTACACGGTGGGAGAGAGAGAGAAGGTACAAAAGACAAGTATTTGTTCAAAAGTTGGAAATGTGATATTGTCAAAGAAAAGTAGAACTTTTTTTTGTTGGTGAATAGATAGGTGGTGTCTGCCATACACTTACTCCCTCGAGCAGAAGACTTTGAAGGTTTTTCTGAGTTTTAAGCTTTTGACTGAGTGTTTTCAACAATAAAAATTTCGAATTCGACTTCTCGAATACTTTGATCTGAGTATATCCACAAGTTGCTGGATCTTCATTCAATCTTGGCATAGATGGAAAAGATAAAGTCTTTTGGTCAGTGTTTTAGAAAATCTTGGCATAGATGGAAAAGTTAAAGGCCTAGGCTTTAAACTTCACCCGATTGTCTTTTGGTCAGTGTTTTAACTTAAAAGTGATTGTAACATTTTTGTACCAACAATGAAAAGTATCATAATATACAATTCTTTTCTTTTTTTTCATTTGCTTTTGCTTTTGTATTGTACTTGGAATTTTGATGGTTTTGATTTATAATCGATTATTTTGATGTAAATAGTACTCTAATCTATATGGTTAAAAATGCCGCATCAATATTATGTTATTTTCCTTCCAAGAAAAGAGACTCCTACCTATTGACAGAGAGGAAAATCTAAAGTTGTTCTTCAACAAAGCAAAATAATGAATCCTACTTATTGAGTAGAGAGAATTCTTTCTACTTTAATGTTCTGTAGTCCTACATCAAAATATGATCGGGTGAGGTTTTTATAAGGCCTAGGCTTTATGAAAACAAAATAAATCCTCACCTCAGATCCTAGTTCGGAAAGTATTTTCGGCAACATAAATCGCTATGATGGCTCTAAAATCAATTTCCAAGATCGACAATAAAATTTAAAACTCAAAATATAGTACAAATCAAACGGATATGGGAACACTTTTTTTTAAAGCAAAATGAACGGTCTAGATTATTTGTTACAATGTACAATATTTTTAGAGCTTGAAATCCTTTTTTTTTTTTTCCATGACTATTTTTAGAGCTTCAAATCGTAATTTTTTTTCACAACCATAATGTTCAAGCCGAGATCATCGATGTAAAGGTTTTTCAATACTTGACCTGCAATTTTCGATGAGTTATGAGGTGGTTATTTTGTTAGGCTGCAGCCCTGTTAAACCATTCTTCAAATATGATATCATGTGCTCCTCTTATCAGAAGACGGAGAAAACAAATAACAACTTCATGCCCTCTCTCTATAGTTTTTGTATAGGGCACATCGCCAATGGCTCGCCTATACACCTACATGGCTCTTGTAATTTACTTTTCTTGTATTTTTCTTTTCTCCTTAGGTACAAAAATAAACTTTCTAAAAAAACAAAAAAACTTCCATGCTCTCTATAAAGCAAATTACATGTTTTGTAAATTGCAGGGCAGCACTTACAAATGATCTCAAGCTCATATTATTTATAGTATTTAATGCACAAGTACATCAACCATAAGATGCCTTTCGATATAATTCAACAAGCTTCGAAGTCACTACCTTTCCCTTATTTTTCAACCAAGACTAACACATTTGAGTGTCATTGCCAAAAAAAAAGAGGCTCATGAGAGTGTCTCTAAGTCTAGGGTATGAATAGAAACTGAGATGTGGCATTGCTAATGTCAACTGCGAACCCCAATTCTTAGTCTAGGGTATATTGATTCTTGACAACAATAGAAGCCACCTTTCCTATAATGTATACTCGTCGTTAATATATGGGTGTGGTTTCTATAAGGTTGCAACTTTAAACAATCTAATTAAGGTGTACCTCTAAATTTTTTGATAACAAGTAATTTGGGTAAAAAAATTTTTAGGATTATCTCGAAATCTATTTTCATATCTAATTATAAAATTTTAAACTCAAAAAATGGTTTAAAATCAAGCATATCTATAAACATATGAAAATCTTGAAAATGGACAGTCTAGATAATGTATTGCAAGATGCACTATTTTTGGAACACAAAATCTTTTTTTTCTTTTATATTCATACATCTCGATGTCGAGATGATCAATTAGAGGTTTTTTTAACATTAAAACAACATTTTGCAATGAATTTTTTGATATTCATATGTAATTCTACATTTTAAGGTTGCAACTTTATATAAACTTTTTCTTTAATATATTGCTGAATATTTCTTTGTAGAGTGAGTCTCCAAAGTAAACAATAAATTAACATAACTCCAAGCCTTAAATATAGGAAATCTATCAAATTATCCAGAGAAGAACAATTTAAAAAGACCTGTAAAAAAATATTATGGTTTTGAGTTGGAATAGTTCCAAAATGTTAAATAGTTGATCTTTTATGGATATTTTGATAGATGGTATTACTGACGTAATGATCCTTAATAGAAAAGAATGAAAAAAACATAATTCACGTAGCCGAGAGAAAAAAAATTGGATGACAATGATGATGGTTTGATAGATCTCTCTTAAATATGTAAATACCTTGTCCATTCATCTTTGACTCCTATATATATAACATCTTGGACTCTTGAAGACCAACTTGTAAATTTTAGATTTGCTAAGGATTTTAGTTTTTTAAGTTAGTTTCGGTAGGATTACATTGACTTATTTTCTAACCCGATTGAGTTAAATATTTATGGTTCATTTGGATTCTAGGGCATGCAAACTCTGTTTCACATGCCCAAACTTGGAAAGGGAAAAACATTTGGGAGATTCTCATAGTACCATACCAGGTTTATATTGGAAATGCATACAATAACATCAGTTATTTATGATTTCACAATCATTATTGATTGTTAGTCATGAATGAAATTAGATGGTTGAGAGCAGTGTTCTAAACCACTACTCTGGCCCGGTACTCGGCCCATGCTGGAGCTGAGTACTCAACCCAAATCCAAGTAACTCAGCCCAAGTAGAGCAGCATATAGTACCAGCAAAAACATATTAAAAAATAAAAATAAAATATAAAATATAAAAAATCTTTAAAATATGAAAATTTAAAATAAAAATAAACAAAACACATCTAAATTTTGTAAAAAAGTAGCGAAAAAATAGGTTTTAAAAAATCTAGAAAATTTTCAAAAAAGTTGAGAAAAGTGTAAAAATAATTATTTATGGCTAAAATACTTTTCAATATTTTTCAAAGTAGCATAAAACATAAAAAAAAAACATATTACAAATATAATTCTTATTTTTTGGGATTTGTTATAATTTTTTTGAATTTTTTAATATCCCCGAGTTGGACCCCCAACTCAAGACAACTCGGCCTCAGCCATTCCTGAGCTAACTCGACCGATTTATCAAACACTGGTTGAGAGTGTGTTGTCGATTAGGTACAAAGTCCAAAAATATATTTACGTGACACACTTTAAGTTGTCGAATTTTACATCTGATGGCTATAAAATTAATTGTCTTATAGCAAACGATCCTTTTTTATTCACACTTTTCCCCTAGAAACATGCATTTGCCGAATAAAATGAATTCAAAACATCTATGAATCACGTCATTCACCTTTTCAAACCTTTTTATTTTTTTCTTCTAAAAACCACATGATATTAAGTTCTTTCATGGTTGTTTGGATCCCAGGTGCAAAAATCGTCTTTTGCGTACCCACTTTTTAAGTGGTATCATAACGTAACTTTTTTTAAAATGGCTTTACCCTTTTTCGGGTGTTGAACAATCAAATTGAAGGGTTTTGCGGATGTTGAACGTCCGAATTCAATGTATTTTCAGTCACATTTTCGGATGTTGGACATCCGAAAATATCACATTTTCAACATTTTCGGATGTTGCCAATGCAAGTTTTATGAAATGTGACTTATGACCGAAAATACATTGAATTCGGAGGTTGAACATCCGAAAAATCCTTCAATTCGGTTGTTCAACACCCCAAAAAGGGTAAAATCATCTTTTTAAAAACTCGTGTTATAAAAGGTAAAAAACAGACATACATGTAATTACGGAAACTATTTGGTACATCCATAATAACACAATGTGTAGCGGATATGTAAGTATTTTTCTCTTATAAAAAATATATCTTTTTTTAAATTATTAGAAATAAACCCAATTTTTTTAAGAACTCATCTTCTCCACTATTTGTGCCTTTTTTATGAAAATACCATTCATGATATTCTTATATCTGTGAAGGTGTCATAATGGATTCATAACCGTGATGGTCAAAATGGGATCTAAGCCAATGCACCGCGACACTAAAAGAAATTGTGATGGATTTTTACACTGTCACATGATCACTTGGAGCATCACAACATTTAAAGAACCGTGATGGTCACTTGGAGCATCATAGGACTTATAGAATTGTGATTGTCACTTGAAGCATCACAACACTTAAAGAACCGTGATGGTCACTCACAACACTTAAAGATCCGTTATGAGCTTCTGGACTGTCACATGATCACTTGAAAAGCATCACGACACTTAAAAACCGAAATGGTTACTTAAAGCGTTACATCACTTAAATAGCTGAGATGCCTTCACGTGCCTAATATTTCTGTGAAAGGTATTTTAGTCACAAAAATGCAAAACATCAAAGAAAAGAGTACGGATGAGGTTTTGACAAAATTAGGGATTGTTTCTAATAATCTAAAAAAAAGTATACTTTTATAATTTCCCAAGAATCAAAGCATGTTGCACTTCCAAGCCCCATCAAAAATGAATCCTAGTGCCCACAACTCTTGCAATTACATGAGTTTTTGTTTTTAAATTTAAAGTACCAAAGAATAGTGCGGATCATTAATAACTATAAACACTAAGAAATTTGAAAAAATGAACCATGCACTACAATTACACTTTTTATAATCTTTAGAACAATTTTTTTGTCATATCCATTATTTCAAGGTCGAACCCATCAATTCGAAGGTTTTTCGGCATCGAATTGAACTTTAAGGGCACCTAATATCAAAATTTTCGCAGTTAGGATACCTCGCACGATATTACAATGGGGATACATGCTTACGTACTATGCTCCTGCTGGAGCATGCTGTGTACGTATTTTCTAAGCAAAATACCTACTTAAAAGTATCCTTTTCAATCTAAAATTTAGAAATCTACATAAAACATACTATATGATTAATTTTCAAAAGAAATTAAACTTTAAGGTTTAAAAAACTCGATATCGCCTTCCAAAAATTGAAATGTCTCTATTCAATATTGAGGTATTATCCATTTTAAGCCCATAGAGGGTGTCTTTAGAAATGTTCCTTATTGATGTTAGTCTATAAGTTGAAGAGGCCATATCTATAAATTTTTTGGATAGAGGGAGTCTTTAGAAATATTCCTTATTGATGTTAGTCTATAAGTTGAAGAGGTTATATCTATAATTTTTTTGGATCCTGAAGATATTAATAAATTGAATTTTGGATTATGGATTAAATAGACAGTATGATCCAGCGCTAGCATGATTTCGTTTGGCTTTCCAAATTACTCAAATTTTCGATGGCGTTGATCCTTGGATATGCAGAAAATCGCAACAAAGCACATCCCGCGGCCCTGCACCCTCCTCATACATCCTCCTTTCATTCGCTCTCTCTCCTCTCTCCTCTCTCCTCTCTCTCTTCCCTCGAACCCTAACCCCCTGACCCTCTAGCTCTCTTTCACTCCACCCTCGAAACCCTGGCATAAGGAAACTCTTGCTCTCTCTTCACCTCCGAAACCCTAGCCCCATTCTACACTTTCTCTCTTCCTGTCTCTCCTCCCTCTCTCTTCCACATTCTCTCCTCCTTCTCTTCCCAAAAAGAACTCTTCCTTTCTATATCTTCACTGACTCGTCTGCGCTTCCACTTCTCTTTCTCTATCAAGATTGTTACATTTTGGGGTTTCGTGCTCAGATATCTTCTCTGCCACCTAGGGATTTCTTGGAGCTCCTTCTCGCTTTGATTTTAAGGTCCAGGATCTCTCCATTGAAGGTGTGTCTCCGCTCTCCCTTGATTAGGTTCTCTTTTTGCTAAGGATTTAGGATTTAGAGTTCTTTATTTTGCTAAGGATTTTTTAGTAGAGAATATGTTACGGTAATCGTTACTACAATATTTACAGTTATATTTATTTTAGTAATTCTTTGATTTGTTGGTTTGCGGTACTCAACTTTAGATCCATTTCTAGGGTTTATAAATTCGATGAGAACCCAATTGAGGATATTGCATATTTATTCACCGCATACAGTAATATTTACTGTAACTTTACAGCCTTGTTATTGTGATATTACGATAATACTTACAGTAAATTATTTATTTTATTTATCTCTGGTAGCATTTTTAATGCGACAGTACTGTTGCAACAATATTATTTGCTGTAGTGTTTTTTGTAATGTTGATTTACACCAATGTTAAGAAAGTTGAGTCAGGCTTGGGACTCGCCCCTGCCAAAGCCAGCGAGGCAGTGGACTTGCCCAAGTAGTGTACAAGCCCAAGGAAGGGCTTATATTTGCAAAAGAAATAAAAAAAAATTTCATGCTTCAAAAATTTACTAGTTTAGTCTCCATATTTCGGTATCTCTAGTCTCCATTCTCAGTGTTTCAATTTCGGCATCTTTAGTCTCCATTCTCAGTGTTTCAATTTCGGTATCTGTAGTTTCTATTCTCAGTGTTTCAATTTCGGTATCTCTAGTCTCCATTCTCAATGTTTCAATTTCGGTATCTCTAGTCTCCATTCTCAGTGTTTGTAAAAGCGCTAGGCGGCTGTGGGGGTCCAAGCCACCCAGCGCCTAGGCCGGCACCCAGAACCAGCTCAAGAAAAAAAAAGAAAAGATGGATGTCAAGAAGAGAATTTTGATAATCCATAAGGCCATAATCCATATTTTCATACAATGCTAAAACAGTAAAACCATACAAGCATACATTGATAGTCTGATACAATGTAGACTGTACACACAAATGTTAAAGAGTAGAAACTAGAAAGTAGAAACTAAAACTAAGAAAAAGAAAATATACAGAAATTCAGAAAATATATTGTCTAGGTCACAATAGTCAACACTCAACAACCAAAGTCAAGCACTCAAGTGTCTTCAACTCTTCATTCTTTAGTCATCATCATCATCGGAAGGAATAGGGTAAGCCTCATCATAAGCATTAGAGTCGAGGCCATCATCATCAGAGTCATATCCCTCTTCAATATAACGCTCGTCCTCCTCTGTTTCTTCTTAATCTGTATCTTTTGCCTCCTCTTTTTCTACCTCCCTCTTACTAGTATGTGCAGTTGAGGCCTTAGGAGTCTTGGCTGCTCTACCCTTTTCTATCTTTTTGTACTTCCCTTAACTCAAATATTATATAATCTCCTCCCCGGTAGCCTCAGGAACATTTTTACACGGGGTAACATTCCCTTTAATACCGGCAAGGTGTTTTTTAAACCGGTAAAGGCTCCCATTAGTATACTTTCCACAATAATTACATTTAATACGATTTTTGTCATTCAAATTCGGGTTATAATCATACTTCCAACCCGGATCACCACTTCTAGAAGAACCTGGAGAAGATATTTCTATAGAACAAGGCTCATTTTCATCCTTTTCTGATTCTTTAAAATTCAAAAATTGTCTAGTCTCATCCCGAATAGCTTGAGGAACCTTTTTACAAGAAGCAACATTCTCTTTAATACCGGCAAGGTGTTTCTTGAATAGGTTAATACCCCCATTGGTATCTTTTTCACAAAAATTACACCTTATACAATTTTTATCATTTGGTTTTAGGTTACTATATTTTCAATTCGGATCACTTCTTCTAGAAGAACCAGAAATAGATCTATTCAAATGACAAGGATTTTGTTCCTGTTTTTGTTTTACATACCTCATATTTTGCTTAATCTCCTCTTTGATAGCTTCAGTATATTTTTACAAAAGGCAACATCCTCCTTAATACCGGCAAGATGTTTTTTAAAACAGTTTATGTCCCCCTTTTGTATTTTTTTCACAATAATTGCATCTAATGCAATTTTTGTCATTTGGATTCAGGTTATATCCATATTTTCAACCCGGATCTCCACTTCGACTAGATCCTGAAGAAGACATACTTTGATTACTCGAACTCCAAATTCCCACATCTAAGATGTTTTCTGGTGCTAAAATAATAAAAAACACCCTCTAATAGGATAAAAAAACTCCAAAACTAAATCTAATCTACCTGAGTGATACTTGGATCTATTTTTCGTACTTTGAGAAACACTTCAATCCAATGAAAACCACAAAATTTAATTTTTTTGATGTTTCTTTCTCTCTAAAATGGGTTCTTGTGGGTTTAGGTTTCAAATGAACCTAAAACCCATCCTTCAAAGCCTTTATGTTTCAAAAAAACTCAATAAATAGAAAAAACTCATTCCGCCCCTAGGAGGGGCGCAGGCCTTGAGCGGGTTCCGTACCACCTAGGCAGCCGCCCAGGGACTACCGTCTAGTTTAGCCACCTATCGCCCAGGCTTTTTGGACCGCCTTGGCGGCCGCCTAGGCGGCCGCCTAGGCGTTGGGAGGTCCACTTTTTTGAACAATGATCATTTTATTTGAGGAACCGTTGAACCAATCACTTGTTGTTGTTACTCCGGTTTTCTGTTGAGTTCTATACTGTAGAGGTATCAATTTCCTAGGTTTTACTTTCGGTACAAAGGGTTCACTATCAACCTTGGCTGTTAGATGTGACGTTGGGCATCTGGGGTTCTGCTCAAAGTTGAAAATAAAATTTCTTGGATTTTGTGACATACCCACGTTGTTGCATTTGCATTTGATGAATGAATGTGATTGTGACCTCCTTATGCCAAAGGTAAATGGTCTTATAGTATGCAATCTCTAAAATGAGACCATTTTATATCGGTCCTTTATGCATTGACATGTGTAGGCCCAGTTTTCCGCTCTTCAGTTTTCCGCTCTTCCAGTTACTTTTATATATAGAGAGAGTACGGTTTTGGCACCCTGTAACAAAGGACTTATGTTTTGCTTTGTGAGTTGAACCGTATTGGTCTTTTCCTTACAATGTAAATTCAATGTTAATTCTGAAAATATTCATAATCTAATACCCAACAAATTCTTCCCATAACAGTGGGCACGGTGGAAACTATCCATCTTTCAATCAAGCAAACTAGGCCACAAATTGAGTTCACCCTGCAGCAAACCCAATGACCACTAATTTTAAAAAGTTTAAAAACTACAAGGAGATCATTGCAAAGCATAACCCAACCTTTACATGTGGATAAAAATGAAGCTTAGAGTCAACTTTCTTTCAAAGAAGAAAAAAGAAAATTCTTAGCTTATTCACATGTGACTCATTTTTAGGCATGTGTGTGGTGGAACCAAGACGAGTAGCTCCTCTCCATTGACGGTTAAGTCCAAGCTGAGCCAATTGCAAGCTGCTAAGGCAGTAATATAAGAAGGATTTTCACTATTTTGCCCCTTTCCACGGTCGCATCCTCCAACAAAGCCCATCGGTCCCTGTCCTGCAAATACTTGGCTCACAAAGGCATAAAATCCTAATTTCTCAGGCATTAACCGAGCTCAAGACTCCCAGTGCATAGGCTTAGTCATTGTTATTTTTGGTTAGCCGTTCATGGCTTCTCTGGTTCTTGAAACCTTAGGTGTTTTACTTTCATTTTTGCCCTGATTTTCTTTTCTATCTTCTCTGGTTATTCATCTCGATCTGCAGAGAAAATGACTGACATGTCCTGACTATGAACTCCCATTTGTTGACTCTCTATGAACATGTAAATTAAGGTTAATAATGGGTTTTCTGATAATAAACCCTGGTGATGCTGAAGATTTTTGTAGCAATACTATTCAAGATTTTGATTCATGAGGTTATTCATTTTTTTATAATGAGAAAGTAAGGCTTTTGAAATAAGGAAATAATTATAGATTGGACAATAATATAGTGCTAAAATCGTATTTGGTGTTGACACAGAGAAATGGGATAGAAAAAAAACTTAAGAGCCATTGTTTTGGCATATTGGGAATGCTAAAGATAAATTAAGATATGTTTCAATATGGTACATTGATAAATTAGGATTATGCTTAGATAAATTAGGATTATGGCAAATAAAAGAAGTTGAACCACAACTGAGTTGTCGAGGCAACCAACATCCTTGGCGCTCAAATCAAAAAAATTCAAAAACTGAAACTGGCTGCCCACTAACTGGGAGTTCAAGTACAAAAATGGTAAGGAGCCCTGTCCCACTTGATTTACACCCAGACTACAAGGCATATACTTATTGGCAGAAAAGCATAGGAATAGAGTGAAGAGAGAAGACGGAGCAGGTGAGGGAGGAAATGGTGTAAGGGAGCAAGGAGAAAAGAAGAGGGGTGAGGGAAGGAGAAATTGTGCAGCTCCTCGATTGAGCAAAGGAGGGGAGAATAAAGAAGGAAGAGGAAAAGGTGGAGGGAGTGAGAGATAGGAAGAGAGGGGTAGAGGAAAGAGAGGGAGAAAGATTTTTAACCATCCTGCTACAGTTTGAGAGACACTATGAGGGGAAAGAGAGAGGGAGTGATCAAAATAAAAGAGGATTTTTTTTTTTGTCCTTTTGGGGGGTGGGGGGAAACGATTGAGAGATGGGAAGAGAGGTTAGAAAAACAAAGAGGAGGTACGAAAAGATGGAGGCAGGAAATTCTGTCAGTGTAAAAGGGGATGACTGTCAGTAACCCACTCACAGTACCATCTTGGACACATTAGCGACTGTATTACCTTCCCTTGAAGCATGGCGAAGACAACATGAATGTGGTCGCATGGCGAAGACAACATGAATGTGGTCAAATAAATGAGCTAGCCTCCAAGGGGTTGTGATTTTTTAGCAGCGCACAAGATAACATTCTTGGAACCACCTCCCACAAGAATGCAATCCCTGCTAGGATCAACGGGGCGGGAGCATTTGAGACCCACCAAGATAGCGATAGACTCAGCCTAGAAACCCACAAAAAGACAGTCACTTCTTTGTGACTGGTTAATCTACCCTGTAGCCCAAGGGTCTAGATTTCTGGGAGAGTACCCATCAAAGTTAAGCTTAAGGAAGCCCTGGGGCAGAGGACACTAGAGAGACCTTACAGCCACAGTTCTAGGGATGAGATGCATAATGTTGTGCCAGTTCCTTTTAAAATATCCTGCCTTTCTGTTTCTTTTAAAACAAGAAGTTATGCAAGAAAAATTGCAAAATTTAGCCAATTGTTTTACACCCCATACTGGTGGTTTTGATAGCTCACTAATAGGGGTCTTTTTGTCATTTTCCACCCAAAGTGGGTGGAGTATTTGGATGGATAGATGGAGCACATGAACACTAGAACTTCACATGGAGCTTTTTGTCCTCCAGGTTTCTTTCATTCCCAGATATTATCAGAACATAGAAACAGAGATCTTAAGGCCTTTTTTCCCTTCTATTGCTAACCTATGAGGAATAAGGTCTAGGAATAATATATGTTGGAATAGTGTTGCATGAATCAGTGGCCTCAAGAGCCTGCTAACTCACAAACGTCCATCATAAAGATGGACATTGGATAAAGTGTACTCTCCATAGATTCCATATAGACGTGCACCAAAAAATACCAAAAAAGTATATTTTTAATTTTAAAATTTTATTTTTCTTTTCATGTTCATGATCACCTTGTCTATATGATGAATCCATAAAAAAATTTAGTTAAAAATATGATATCTAAAATAGATTTTAGAGGGGGGCCGCATGTGTACATATGAGTCGGCCGACTCATAGAAACCCCAACTATATATGTATACTTAAAAATTATTGTTTGATGATAGAATCTTTCACTGTGAAGCACAAGATGAAGATACAGTGCTTCAGCTTGAATCGTTTAGTTAAAATCCCTCAGATATAAGGTATTTATTGGCAAATCTTGTGCCCTTTAATGGGGAATATGTCTTGGGGGGCTCTATATCCTCTTTCCAAGGCATTTGAGACAAATACCTTATATGATAAAACAGCAAAACAGTTTCAATATTTATTCTGTCAACTGTAAATATTGTTTACTGCTGAAGAATTTGTCTGTTGTTCAGGTTTAAATGCTATAATAATAAAAATACTAACAATGTTATCCGTCAAAACAAAAAAAGAAATGGTTCAAATGTTGTGCTCTTGGAAGTAGGTTGGGGCTCATCTGATATATGGATCGAGGGTTTATAAGATATGCCTTGGGCACGTAGGTACCAATAAACTTAGTCGAGACGGGCATAGGCAATTCTATAAGGACTAAAAATCTGTTTTGTCTTTCCATGGGTCCTGCCTTGAATCAAAGTAATTATCATATGATAACAAAATGGTAGTTACTCCCTAGAGAATTGAACATCCATGGTTGGAGTCACATCTAGAAAACTTGTTTCATCATTTCAACGCACAAAAGGATTTTCCCGTATAAATCAAAGACACAATGAATATGCAACCGAGTGAAAGGCACAGCCAGCTACTTCTCTCATGGCGGTCGAGCTGGTTCTGGGCAATAAAATAGCGCTTTTTCCAGGTTATGGTTATGAACATGGATGGTGCTTTATGGATGGATTTGAATTTCGATTCATATATTAGAAGAATTATTAAATTGTAGTGTTTTTAGGTGTGGTAAATTGTATGTTAATCTTAGTATCACAATTATGTTCCATTACACAAGGAGACAAATCCATGTTGGTAACCATGGACTCTTTCTGGAACTCGCCATGAGCCTAAAGTCAGTCAGCTCGCTCATGAGGTTTTCCCAAGCTGGGTGAGTTCCTAAAAACATCGGGAAAACTCATTAAAATCAGAAAATTAAAAAAATCATATAACAATTATACCAAACAGAAAATGATAAAAAATTGAATCATGCTCATGAATAAAGTACTATCTTATATACATGTAAAGAGTCTCTATGTATACGTGAAAATGAAAAAATAATAATCTTGTTGATTTTTTTAAGAAAATGCAACAAAAATACAATAATAACTAAAATAAGTGTGATATCAGTCCCAAAAAAAATTCATTCGTATGAATTTGAATTGAGCAACGAAACTTACTCAAAATTTCAAAGCCAATTCTTTGATCTTTGCCCTCTGTGCTAATCGATTCTCCAATCTTTGTCAAAGATTCCTCACGTACCCCAAATGAAAAACCCCAAACTAGATTTGAGATTCATGTTTGGATCTAGTTTACCTGTGGTCTTAAAATTTTCAGGCAAATAACGTCCAATTTCCAAAATCTTGCGAATCTGAGGTTTTGGATGGTTTTTTGTGAGAAATAAACCTATGAATCGTCAATAAAGAACTCAAGAAATAGGCTTACGTAACAAATATCGACAAAGATTGAGCTATGGTTATGAAGAAATCGCAATTTTTAAAATTCGACCAAACTGAAGTAAAAAATACCAATCTCTCAAATCTGAGGAATTTGATATTTTTTCTCAAATGTGATCTATTCAATGGATAGAGATTGCAAAAATGACCCTAGACACAAAATTTCAGCTCGATCCAAAGTTTAGTTAAACAGTAATTAACAAATAAGAGGTTTGGTTTTCAGCCGCCCTTTATTTTTGAGAAAGCCCTTGGACTCGACAAGTCCCGACTCCTGATAGGCTCGGTGAATTTGTCATATAGGTGCAAAGTCTTTGACAGCTTGCCTGAGTTACTACATTTACTAGGTTGAATCGTGCTACTGTGAGCTCCCCCCCCCCCAAAGAAAAGGAAAAAAAGGAAGGAAAAAAAACCACTCTAGAAGGGTTTTTTTGGGCTTGACTGGGTGCTAGGCCTAAGTGATTGAATTCGTGTTGGATCTCATCAGTTTTTCAACACTGAAACTCAGTAGTTAACATGTGTGGGTGTTGATTGAAGGCTTACTATACCCATTTTTAATCTGCCATAAGCTTAGAATTCGTTCTTGTGTGTCTTGTTTCTTGCATTCCTAATGAAGCTCATTGCCTATAAAAGAAACTGTCTTGTTGTCAAACGTAAGTTTCGGAATTTTATTTGCGCCTTGGAGATTTGTTCTTTTGATTCCGCATATCACCTTTGAATGTCCATATGCTTGCACATCTCCATTAGAAGTATCAATTCTTGCTGCCTCATTGTTTCTCTTAGAAATTTGAACACTGAGATAGGTAGGTTGATCATCGCATACCAATGAAACTGAAGGGGAAGTTTTAAGACAACTGTAAGACCAGCTATGCTTTATGAGACGAAATATTGGGAGGTCAAGAAACAACATATCCATAGAATGAGGGTAGCTAAGATGAGGATGTTGAGATGGATGAGTGGCAAGACAAGGAAGGATAGAATTTGGAATGAATACAATTGAGGGAACTTAGGGGTACCTCCAATGGCCGATAAGATGAGGTAAAGTAGACTTAGGTGGTCTGGTCATGTGCAGTGTCGACTAGGGTTGCACTTGTTAGGACGGGTGATTTGGTTCAAGTGGAAGGCTCTAAAAGGACAAGAGGAATGTCCCTTTGGACATGGATGGAAGTAGTATGGATGGAGGTAATGAGAAAAGATATGGTGACTTATGGCGTGAGGGTATATGCCTTTGGTAGAGTGGAATAATGGAACATGTTTCGTGTAGCCAAATCCAATAGTTGCAATAAGGATCGGATGATGATGATGATGAGAGATATATAGGTTGACATAGATAGAAAGATAATGTAGGAATAGGTTGATGGATGATTACGTAAGACTTGGCTGTGTCTTTTTCAAGTTTTTCTCTTCTTTACTGTTGGAATTCGTTTTGCACTTTTCGTTATATTGTGTTTTTCTTGGAAAATGATTTGCCTTTTGATTTTGGGTTTTGAAAGGCTTGGCCAATTTGAGTTGGATGAGTCCCAATCAGACGTAGCGGTTTATTTTTTCTGTTCAACAATATTGTGCTTTTGCTTCCCTAAAAAAATGTTTGTATGAGATTTATGATTATTTCTTTGTTTTGGTTCCTTCATTCTTCTGGAGCATCTTGCTGTTGTTGTTGTGGAGAATTTGTCTAGTTTCTGTGTTCTTATTTATTTGTATTTGTGCAGACCTTGTTTAATAAGTCAAAACAGATGCTTCCTCACAATGGAGACCATGATGTTAAAATAGAAGTACCTTGAAGGCCATAATGGACTCTCACAAGGGAGCGTTATTTGACTGTTAGTGGGAGACGTGGAGGGTCTTTCCTTCATGACATTTTACTTTTTGTGTGAATTCAAGGTAAATTTGTACATCCGAACTGAGTTCCTTCTGGATTTCTTTAGAAACATTGGTCTTGTGTACCCCCTAGGGATATACAGGGAATGTTTTAAGCACTCAAAAAAAGCCAAGCTAAATTGTCTCACTTGATTCATGGCACTGACGACACACAATTCTTTAAGTATTGGACAAGAGTTTGCTGATGTTGAAAGTTGTAGAAAGGCATTGAAAGAGACTGCACTTGCTCTGCACTTTGATCTCCGTATAGTCAAATCTGATCGTTGCCGTTTCACCGCCAAGTGTGCCAAAAAAGGGTGTCCATGGCGTGTACATATAGCGAAGCTTCCAGGTGTCTCGACCTTTACAGTAAGAACACTTCATGGAGAACACACATGTGGAGGAGTTGGTAACCTTCGCCATCAACAAGCGTCAGTTGGGTGGGTTGCAAATTCAGTGGAACAAAAGCTTCGAGATAATCCCCAATACAAGCCCAAAGATATTTTGCAAGACATTCGCCAAGAACATGGGATCACTGTCTCATATTTGCAAGCCTGGCGTGGAAAGGAACGTAGTATGGCAGCTGTTCATGGGTCTTTTGAAGAAGGATATCGTCTCCTCCCTTTGTATTGTGAGCAAATTAGAAGAACAAATCCAGGCAGTTTTGCTTTGGTCATTACTGGTCAGGAAAACCGATTTCAACGTCTGTATATCTCTTATCGTGCATCGATTTATGGTTTTGTGAATGCTTGCAGGCCCCTCCTCGAACTCGATAGGATACATGTGAAGAGCAAATACTTGGGGACTTTATTGTGTGCGGCAGCTGTCGATGCAGATGGGTCACCTTTCCCTTTGGCTTTTGGCATTGTCGACACTGAAAACCATGAGAACTGGTTGTGGTTTCTATCCGAGCTTCGTAAAATGCTTGGAATGAATACTGAAAACATGCCAAGGCTAACTATACTTTCCAACCGAGAAATGGGCATAGTTGATGCAGTTGAAGTGAATTTCCCCACTTCCTTCCATGGCTTTTGTTTGCGTTACTTAAGTGACAACTTCCGCAAAGAGTTTAGAAACACAAAGTTGGTCAACATCTTTTGGAATGCAGCTTATGCCCTCACTACCATGGAGTTCGATGCCAAGATTGTTGAGATGGCCGAGATTTCACAGGACACGGTCCAATGGATGCAAAACTACCCACCCCGCTTGTGGTCCGTCGCATATTTTGAGGGAGCACGGTATGGCCACTTATCACTTAGTATCACCGAGCAACTCAACAATTGGATCACAGAAGCTCGAGAGCTTCCCATAATCCAAATGATGGAGTGCATTCGTAGCCATCTAACCACTTGGTTCAATGAGCGGCGTGAGAAAGGCCTCCAATGGACGTCGATACTCGTGCCATCAGCTGAGAAGCGTATGGCTGAGGCCATTGCAGATTCACGATGCTACCAAGTGCTCCGAGCAAATGAGGTCGAATTTGAGATTGTATCAACTGAGAGAACAAACATAGTCGACATTCGAAGTCGATCTTGTTCGTGTAGGCGCTGGCAGTTATTTGGGTTACCTTGTGCTCATGCCACTGCTGCTCTTCTTTCTTGTGGGCAAGATGCCCATCGATTTGCTGAAGGTTGTTTCACGGTTGTGAGTTATCTTGAGGCTTATTCTCAACCGATAAATCCAATTCCTGATAGAAACCTTTGGAAGGAGTTGATGGAGGGAGGTGAGGGTGGTGGCAGTTTGCATATTGATATGAATGTGCGACCACCCAAGACTCGCCGCCCTCGAGGGCGCCCAAGAAAGAGTCTCATCCGTACTGAGGAAACTCGCATAAAGCGTATTATGCATTGTGGTCGGTGTAATCAAATAGGACATTCCAAGAAAACTTGCAAGACACCAATGTTACCTCTTATAGACAATTGAATTTCTTTGAAAAATTGAGTTCATTTTGGGGGAGGGGGAAATATCTTTGCTTCTTGTAGTTCTGACATAGCTTAATTCTTTATCGGAGAGCATCTGATACGCGTGACAAACTGAAAGTTCTGGAATTTGAATATGTTTATTCTTCCCATTACAAGTTTGTCTATTGATGTTGGAGAACAGGAAAAAGGAAGAACATGAAAGGCTTATCTACTCTTTCCGCCAAAGGTTTCCTTGGTGTTTGGAATCTGGAATAGAGTTGCATAGAAATATTAAAGATCTGGCCCTTTTTCCTAACATTGATAGGGAAGCTAGGTTCAAACCCTCTACTGCAATGTGGCAACAACAATCACTTTCCGAAGTGCGACTTGCAGATGGAACCTGAAGACCTGCTCATTTCAATGTTGAGTGTAGGTATTTATTTCATTTCAGGTATCGAATTGCTATCATAACTTTCCTTTGAAGAGATACTACTCGAAGATTGTGGTCATAAAATTCCCTGAATATAAATGATTGTTATTTATTCCGAGGCAGATATACCATAATCCAATGGAGTATGTATAACATGGAGTACTCCTAATGGCATTGACCATCTGTACCTTGTGGTTGACAGTGGAGATCAACTGTACCTGGGTGAATATTCTGGTAGGCTCCACTGTGAACCTCCACTGTCCGTCTGGAATGGATGGTGTTGCTTCTTCGAGTACCACATGCATACTCATTCAGAGTTCAGTATTACATTCCATGTTTCTTTGCCCTCTTATCTTAAAATTATATTGTTTTCTTCAAACATGTGTTGTGCTCTATATTGATCTCCTTTCTGATGCTCGGAATAGGTAGCTTCTTGCTTGTTTCGTCGCCCGCAAGCGCAGTAAGGGCGAAGTACCTGCTGCACAAGAAATCAGGTTTTCCGTCAATGTTCCCTTCCATTTTTTCTACCCTTTGATGTAATCATGAAACGTGGATTTATCAGAAAAAGGAAAAGAGAAAGTAATCATGCATATTCATAGAACTTTCATAATGGATTCGGGGATGTAACTGATGGCTTCAGTGGTTTGGGATGCAACAATTGTATCCCCTGCTATAATACATTTCAAATGTATCCAGAAAGCCATCAAGATCCTTGTTCTTTTCCTGCTTTACGACGATCCAGCACTGGTGCGAATCTGAAAATTTGTAGCCAACGTCTCAAATTTTTGCTAACTTATATTCCAATGTAAGGAATTCTTAGTTGCTCTTGTGGGTGTTTGATTGATCTCTAATTCTGGCCAAAACTCAATAAATTCCATCTTTGGTTTCACTTGATAATTGTCATTTGCCTGAAATTACGAACACCCCGCGGCAATTTTTTTTCGTAAGTTCCCCTTATCTGGCAACGCAAGCATCGGACAGGGCATCTATTTAAATTTGGATGAATTTATTGTCCAGTGTTTGAAATACTGAACATAAGACATCTGTTTAAACTTGGGGACTTTCTAAAACCTTCGAGTCTCATTTCCTGTTCTCTCTCTATTTTTTCTTTTCTCTCTCAAGTTCAATTTCTCTCACATCCTCTTTAGTATTTCTATTTTTCTCTCTAAAGTCCAAGGATTTAGCCCCTGCGACTCATTCAACAATCTCTTCGGAGCACACACAAACGGAGAACAAGACCGAGGGAGAGAAGCAAGACCGAGCAAGAAGCCAGAGTCTAGAGAGAGAAAATGCAATCATGAGAATTAAAGTAAAAACAAGCTTTTGTACCCTACAGGGCTGCAAAAGCATTCAAAGCACCCCTGAATACGCACGCCCCAACTTTGACAGAATCGCCAAACAAAACTCCAACCCTTCTTCGTCCGCTTCATCGACTATAACAACCACCGCTTTTTGTCTTACCAGGCCGAGCCGGCGTCTGCAACTGACTTAAGCGTACCGACTGAAGCAGCAGCCGAGCTCGAATGGCTTTCCCGAAAACTCGTTCTCTGAATTCCAATACGCCTGTGGTTTGATGGTCCCCCCGAGACCCGGCTTTTCCCCAATTCCAATCTTGGAGAAACTCTCGCCTTTGAAAGACCCCAAGTTCCAGGACGAGACACAGCAAGCGTTTAAGAAGCGACAGGGTTTGGTGGCTGAAGGATTCTTCCGCATTGACATGCCTCATCCTAAAAAACCCATTAAAAAATGCTGTCCTCTTTTACTGAATACCCCAATTTCTTTTGATACGAGGGAAATATTTAGAAAAAAGGGAAAAGAGTGGGGTTCTACCGTTCAAAATGCTGACCTCTTTTATTGAATACGCCATTTTCTTCCTGAAATTAGGGAATTTTTTAGAAGGGAAAAGATTGGAGTTTTACGGGAGGGTTGCTAGATTGGGTGCCAAGGTTAGGGAGAGGAGTGAGAGGGAAGGGGTAGGGACGATGGTTTGAGTAGAAGGGAGCGGGAGAGGGAGGTAGAGACGATGGTTTGAGTAGAAGTGAGCGAGAGAAAAGGGTTCCGCGAGTTTTGAAAAGCCAAATATCTATTTGGTATTTTAACCATCAAACAATAAATTCACTCAAGTTTAAACGGATGTCTCTTGTAAGGCGTTTGCATTGTAGAACAAGGGGCAACGTAGGGAAAAAAATTTGCTGTGGGAGGGGGGTTGTTGTGGGAGGGGGTTTATTGCATATTCTAAAATTTGGATCAAACAAATGGCTTAACATGGGTTTTGAAGATAGTTGTAGTATATTACTATACAACTTGTATATGGGCAGTGATTTTTTGCAACGGTTGTATCATAGTATAATTCTGTCATATTGCACTCTCTTCATCTCAATATAATGCCACTTGAAAATCTTAGTCTAGGATTCTTTGTTTTAGTTTGATTAGTCTTATTTTTATAAATCGGTTGTTATATATATGTTGGATTTATGTAGGTTTGTCTTATAGATAAAAGCCGTACTTTTAAGATCAACGTAAAAAGAGGGTTTTAATAGGAAGAGGTTCGTTTTAGTAGTAAGCTTATCATTTAGAAAAGGAAAAGTTTATATAGAGCCGAGGGCGCTAAACAATCAAATTAGAGCTTACCTCAAAAAATTCATTAGAAGAGGTTGTTTTGATACCCAAATAACTTCAAATCGATGATCTTGGCATCAAGATACATAGACATGAGAAAAAAATATATAGATTTGTTGATCTATATTATTTTTGAAGCTTTAAACTTTATAAAAGATGAAAATATAGTTTAAAGCTATCATAATGATTTCCAATATTGAAACTATCTCGACACTAATTTAAGGTAGGCTCTAATTTGATTGTTTAGAGCCTAAGCTCTATACAAACTGCAACCAAAAAGAAAAACATTAACTTGACTACTTGGCAAGGAGAGTGATAGAAGGATGCAAGTCCTTATGTAACGAGATGGTGATTTTTTATAAATTAAGAAAAGTGCAGTTTGGCATCGAGAGAGAGACCCATCTTGCAGGTATATTTTTTCTTTTCTAGTGTTTGTAGGCCCGTAGCAGATACTAAGATCTACACATTTGTTTTTTCCACTTGTAATTTTCTTCTCAGTTTCTTTTCTCTCTAAAACGTCGTTATTTTTGCCCGGTGTTTGTTGTCAGTAATATTATATTTGCATCCACAATTATAATATTGGTTTACTAGAGAAAATTATGGAGAAGATTTCTGTAAATTCTTATCCCTTAAACCCTAAGAGACGAAATAATGGGATTAAAAAAAAAAAAAAAAGAGATCATAAACGAAAGAAAATTCACAATGTAGTCATGCATGCACATGCATAAATGGACAATGAGCAAAATATTCAACTAAATAACTTGGGCAAAAGATTAACTAAATAACTAACAATGAAGATGAACAAGAGATAGCTGGCGAGTTGTTAGATTAGATGGCCTTTCAGAAATAGGGGAGACGTATTCTTAAGGGCGTCCATAGAGAAGCTCGAAGAATGATATATATCTTGATATATATCATTTATATTAAAAGAACTTGATATAGTTCTAATTAGTTTTGGAATATCTTACTTAATAAAGTTTCATTAGAATACTTTTCACAATAGAAGTTCCATTCCTAAAAGACATTTCCTTAGAATTAGGTTTCCAATAACGCTGTCAAATAGGAGCTTCATTCTTAATAGAAGTTTCATTAGAATACTTAATATTTAATAGGAGTTTCATCGCAATAGAAGTTCCACTAGTCAATACTATCTAACAATTGCCTTCTCCAGTTTCGCTAGCCAAAACCCAATTTTAAATAATTTATAGATTTATGTCTCTTTTTGTGCCTCAGCTTGGGGACTTCATAAAAAATATAAATTAAATATACTAAATTTCTTGGGACTCATTATGCAATAAAGAAATTTGACTTTGATTGTTTAGTAACAAATTTTAGATTTTTCTTTGTTTTTGTTGATTTAGGAACAAAATTTGAATTTTTTCAATCTACAATCCTAGACAATAAGTTTCTCTTTTTTTTTTTGGACAATCCCAAACTTTTTCCATATATATATATATATATATATATATACATGTGTGTGTGTGTGAAAAAAAGTTTATATAGAACCTAGGCTCTAAACAATCAAATCAGGGCCTACCTCAAAAATTTCACTAGAAGACTTTGTTTTGATGTCCAAATATCCTCAAATCGATCATCTCGACATCAAGATGCATGGACATGACAAAAAAATAAATTTCAAATTTTTAAAATAGTGTATTTTGTAATGCATTTTTTGACCGTCAATTTTCAAGATTATCAAGTTTTCATAGATCCGTTGATCTACACTATATTTGAAGCTTTAAAATTTATAAATAAAGATGAAAATATATTTTAAAGTTATCACAAAGATTTCCAATGTTAAAACCACATTTCTTAACACTATTTGAAGGTAGGCTCTAATTTGATTGTTTAGAGCCTAGGCTCTATACAAACCACACCCTCATATATATATATATATCCCTAAATTATTCATATTTTGGCAAATAATTTTCTAAAATAATTAAAGTTTTTGACAAATACATCCATGGTATACAAGATTTTCCAAAGCATCCTTGATATATACAAATATTTTTAAAAAATTTCTGAATATTCTTTCTTTTTTTTAACTTTTATACATTTTAATCTCTGAAATACACCTTAAAGCTTCCCGGAGTGGTTGAAGAGCCGAAGCCATACCTTATCTGGATAGAACTAACAGCCCTCCGAAGTGAATCAGATAACATTGGCTTGGCTAGAACTAAGAGCCCTCCGAAGTGAATCAGATAACATTGGCTTAATCTGGCTAGAACTAAAAGCCCTCCGAAGTGAATCAGATAACATTGGCTTAAACCATAGCTGGTGCATAAGATGACCAACTGTGATGTAAAATAAACACCGGTCAAACCAATAAAAAAAGTACGCCAGAATTTTGATACTTTTAACTGAGAATCTGAGAATCATACTGAAGAGAGATGATGTTGGTCAGATAGAACAATTTTCTCATTTCTCACATCCTATATTTGTTCAGTTAATAACTAATGTTTCAAGCTGATACATTATAGAGAAACGAAAGAACATGGGGATAATAGTTCAAACATAAACAGTGTAAATCTGGATTTCTTCAATACATAAGCCCTGTTGATGTGGGCGACTTTAGAGCTAAAAGCTCAGATGCTTATTCTTCTCTCTCTAAAAATTGGGCTGCTTATTCCCATCGCTCCCCCTCTTCGCTCTCTAAATTAGATCGGCAACGCACTCTAGCTCTAGCAATCATTTAGTGCTATTAATTGCTCAACGACTCCAGGATCTGCAAGTGTGCTGGTGTCGCCGAGCTCATCTAACTGTCTCGAAGCAATCTTCCTAAGAATCCTCCTCATGATTTTCCCACTTCTTGTTTTCGGCAGGCCTGGGGCCCAATGTACTTTGTCAGGAGCTGCAAAGGCTCCAATCTGAAATTCAACAACACCCTCAAACATTAAGGTCTATGTACATATTTAGACGTCTACTTGTATATGTACAATTCGCTAGGACAGTTAGTTTAGGTTTTCTGGGACAAACTTCAAGGGTTCAAATTCTTGACCTCCCTCACCCAAATCAATTTTCTATCCATATGCCAAAAGCCTGAGGGAGGAGGGGGGTAGAGAGAGAGCTGCAAGAGAAAGTAAGCATACGCATGGAGAGAGAGCGAGAGAGGAGTTTACAGTTGATTGGTTGCACCAACATAACCGAAAAGGGCATAAAAACCAAGATTTGGAAAAACGAATTATTTGTAAGGGATTGTATCCAATAAGATAGCGTTCAAACACAAAGGTCACAAACACCACAAGCCATCAGATGTAAAATCGGATGCTGAGCTGTGTCATTTTTCTGTTCGAAGCTCAAGGAGACTTTTCACAGACTCCGAGCATGCTCAACAGTAGACCACCAGCCACCCTTTTTCAAATCTAAGGGTCAATTACAGATGATTGTGGCATTTGTTGTAGTAAGGGTAAAACCGTCTTACTGTACACTTCCCTTTTAGTAATCCATGGGGAATTTATGAAACAAGATTATGGGAGAAAAGAAAATAATACATAAATGGAAACGGTGACTTCCACTTCATGTGTTTGCAACCTAGCACCCTTTTTTAGCTTATTCCAACCACGTGTAGGGGTGAAGAGAGCAAAATCCAGGTTGCAAATATCAATATTAATGCCATTTTAGGTGCAACAATCATATTAAAAGGAGCATTACGATTAGACATTCCATATGGACAACTCTATCAATAATGAAATCGAGCAAATCAATTAGTATAACCTACCATGTCAAGAAAAGGCAGCAAGTTAGGAATAAACCTGATTTCGAACAGCTAATACGAGGCTCTTACGAAGTTCTTCACTGTAAGGTTCCCCTTCCACCAGAGTAACAAATGCATATAGACCTTGTCCTTTGACCTGTAAACATGGATGCAGAGACGATTAGAAGAGGAAGTTTGGAGGGACGAAAGCACTCTTTAGTTAATAACAATGGCTACCTCATGCTCCACTCCAACAACAGCAGCCTCTGCACATTTTGGGTGAGAAACAAGAGCTGACTCTACTTCTGCTGTGCCAATTCGGTGTCCACTGCATACACACAAATCATCATCATCATCATCATCATCCTGGCCTTATCCAATTATTTGGGGTCGGCTATACACAAATAATAAATAAAAAAATAAAAAAATAAAAAAATAAAAAATAGAAAACTTTAGGCCTCTCTCTCTATCTCTCTCTCTCTCTCTCTCTTCAAACACAACACAAATACACAATTCATCATCATCTGAGCCTTATCCCAAAACTAATTGGGGCCGTCTACACACACAAATACACAATTACAAGGAATAAATGCACACATATGATTTAAACTTAAGTATGCCTGTAAAAGTAAATATTAGGATGGGTAACATCTTGGGACACAAATTATCACAGCTGAGCCACCTACATATGCATGTAGTGTGCATGCGCACGCATGTGTGTATGTGCGTGCAAGAGAGATTACATTTGTCGCAAAAATGAAAGGGAGAGAAGGGAGGATTAGGGAAATTTATTAAAGCACACCTAAGAGTAGAACTATTTAATATTTCCTCCTATGTATGATTTGAAAAAAAGGGCAAACCCAGTACAACAATTGTTAAGAGGTACGAATTGATTCAAGTGGAAGGCTCAAAAAAAGCAAGGGATAGGCCCAAAAACACATGGTTGGACATACTGAGAGAAGGCATGAGGACTTATGGCCTCACTGAGGGTATGACCCTTAAAGAACAGAATGGTGTACCAGGACTCGTGTAGCCGATCCCAAATAGTTAAAAAAGGCTCGGATTATAATGATGAGGGATGATTTGATAAATTTCAAAACAAATAATGACATATCATTTGATGGACTATATGAAATCTGATCAAATATATGATGGGTTATTTGAAATTAGATAAAGAATTTCGGTGAGATGTTAAATAGTTCAACTTTTAGGTGTGGAATGGTAAATTTCCTGGGAAATTGCATACCCCTGCAGAACACATACCTAAAAGCATAAAAAAGGTAAAACAAATCCATAAGTACCTGACATTAATAACATCATCAACCCTCCCAGTGAGCCAATGGTAACCATCCTTATCTCTGATAAATGAAAAGATCAGCCAAAAGAGAACAGGAAAAAACACAAATTGACAAATGACAACTCCATATGGAACTCAAAACTGCATAATAACTAAGTATGAATCAGACTATAAAAAAACACTTGCTTTCTGATGGTACATGAGCCATGTTCATTGCAGACGGAGCTGAAAGCACATAATTGTAATGATTGTGAGCTGTAAACTCTCAGAACATACCTACTGCAACCATCACCGGTGAAATAATAGCCTGGAAATGGCTTAAAGTATGTTGTTTCATATCTTTCATGGTCACCATAAAGAGTTCTAAAAGCCCCAGGCCATGAATTCTTCACACACAGATATCCACTGCATTCACCTTCAATCTCAGTTCCTTTCTCATCCACTATGACAGGCTGCATAACAATTCCAATAGAAAAAGATGAGAACACGTCGTAATACAAAGAGGAACCTTTTTTACTGTTATGATCAAATCATCCTTCACATGATATGGTATGCAAACCTGGACCCCAAAGAACGGAAATGTGGCAGATCCAGGCTTCTGAGGCCAGGCACCTGGTAAAGGAGTAATCTGCATCAAATCCAAGCGTAAGCCATGAAAGTTTCCTAACAATTTTATAAATGCCAAAGATATTCTACTCCCTCAGGAGCATACTGTTAATTTACCATTCACCCAAAAAAAAATATTGTCTATTTACTCCCTCAGGTAAAACCCCACCTAAGATTAGTTTTAGAACCCCAAATGTTGGGGATATAACCTCTTCAACCTTTAGATTAACCTTAATGAATAAAAATCCCCTGATTCCACCCTCTAAGCACTTCAAAAAAATAATGTCTTAAGATTGAATAGAAATTGTCCAATTTTTAGGGGGTGAGATCTAAGTGTTAGAAAACTCAAATTTCAATTTTTTTTTTTTTTGAGAATAATTGTCTAATGATTCTAAGGTGGTTACCACAATTTCAGATTGAAAAATCCTCCCAAGTAGGTCATCTGACCAAGGGAGTAGCTAAACTGTGCTCCTAAGGGACCATAGTATACATGCTCTATACAAATTTTTGTTCCAGCAGCATTATTTTATACAGATCTTTGCTCAAAGGACGAAAGAGTTGAGACCGCATTAGCCGAATCAGCAGAGTGAGAACTGACCATAAAGCCACCTGTCTCAGTTTGCCACCATGTGTCAGATATAGGGCTTCGTGCACCTCCAATCACATTGTAAAACCACCTAAAAGAGCAACCAGGATATTTCACACAGAACTTTAAGGGTAAATATCGACAACATACAGCGCCTAATATAAAAGAAAAACCAGAAAATTTTGAAGGTAAATCAGTATTTTGATGATGACACAAACCTCCATGCGCTAGGGTTTATTGGCTCGCCCACACTTCCAAGCACTCGTAAGGATTTTCTAGAGTAACGGGTAACAAACTGCAATGGCATAGAAGCATGCTCTTAATATTCTGGCTCTTATTCATGCCACATACGCTTTGCGCGTGTGGCATTTTGCATCAAATCCAAAAAATATAATTTAATAACTTAGAGATAACAAATATCAGCAAATGACTATAGAGGGTGCATAATGATTATTGCTTCTTAAGTTGAAAGTGAGGATCTCTCAAAATCTAAATTACAAAGATTTTCAATGGAAATAACATGTACACAGACATGATTAGGAAAATATCCCCTACAAATATGAATTTCTATTGAGTATCTCTATTGCATATCTCTCATACTATGTTTATCTCTCTCTCTCTCTCTTTGATTTCAATCAGAAGAAATTTAGTTTCCTATTCAAAATAGAGAGAATATAAGGAAAGCCAAGAGTTGGTCAGAGATGAGAGAAACACCCAATATGCTCTTTCATGCCCAACACCCGACTTTCCAAACTGTCTTACCCTGAACACACACTCTCTCTCTTTCCAAACTGTCCTACCCTGAACTCTCTCTCTCTCTCTCTCCCCTCACCTAGTTATACATGCATCAAATTGAGAGAAGGAAAAGGACAATTGGAGGCCCATGTTTTCCATATAGTGAAAGCAATAAACAGGAGGTATGCCTTGGAATCTTCTAAGAAAATAATGAAACATTTATAACAGACACCCAATAAATCCATTGGGGAGATATTCCTGATAGAGGAAAAACAAGTTTCTAATCAACAAAAATATCTACCGATATTCTTGGTAAAGTCTGTCCACCAGTAACCTTGTGCATATATATTAATGGCCCATCGAACTTGCATAGAAGTTCACCAAGAACAGAAAAATAATATTGACCACCTTGTAGGATCATTAAGGAAAGGTAATTATGGTTATAGAGAAACCCCTTCTAGATATGTTAAACATTATAATAGAAGTGCCAATAGAAAATCTTGCATCAGGTCAGTTCTATTGAAAAATCAAACTTGCTAGGAATCAAATGTAAGTAACTAGCCCAAGAGTAATTATGGTGCTTTAATGTAAAACTCCAGAACTAATTCATAAAAAGGATGTATAATCCTACCAAAACTAAAAACGCTTGCCAAGAAAACTAACTATAAGATAATAAATCAAAATAGATCCCTTGCCTCATCACCGTCCCTCATTAGAGACCGGATTAATGTTGGTGCTGTGTAGAATATTGTCACTTTGTATTTATCAACAATATCCCAGCAACGACCAGAATCAGGATAATTTGGTGCCTGCACATAAAACCAAAAGATAATGTCAACAAATGGAATTCGAAATCTTCAGTTAATAGATTTCCCTTTACAATAAGGGTAAGGAAGAACATTACCTAAATTACATAAAGAGACAAGTTAGAAACAAGAGGAAGAGAGATGCTATTATCATAGCAGAAAAATTATTGATACCATGAACAAAATAAGAAAATTCATTAACAAAGCTACATTCAAAAGATAAAAAGTACAATCTTGCAACATAATGTAGACATAAGCAACTGTTTTTTAGAACTCCAAAGAAGATCTCAGAGGTTAACTGGAATATCTATTTTAGATGTCCCAATGGAATCACGTTGCAAAGCAGCTATCAATGCCTCTAGGACACGCTATGAGCAAGTAAGAAAAACACCATAGTCAAACCTCCCAATGGTATATTTCATGAGAGTAAAATATCAGATTAATTTTATCACAAGAAGCCAACCCCAATTAGTGGGAAAAGGCTTTGATGATGATGATGAACTTTATCACAAGGAATTCAATGAACATGTGTATTTCAAAGTTAACAGTTTTCTCCCAAGGTCTGCCCATGTAACACCTGCATCATGTCTGATAAATGCATCAGGAAAATGTTGTTACAAGCCCAAACAAGTGAATGATCTTTTATAAATGGAAAGCTCCAAATTATTACCCCTTCGTAAACCACTACAGTGGCTCCATTCAATAATGGACCATACGTAACATAGCTGTGTCCGGTAATCCAACCACAATCAGCAGTACACCTGAAACATGGAAACGAGGCATGAGCTCTTAGTTCATCAATAATTCAAACCAGGATAATGAATCTCCAATGACATGTGACATATATACAATGTGAACTATTTAACTATAAATATGGGTTGAGAAATATGTATCACATCAATTATTGATCCAAGGATATCTTCAGATTGTTACAGCATAATAGACTGATGTATATGAGAGATGACCACCAAAAAATATTCATAGAGATATATGAGCAACAGCATGATCATTCATGCCACATCCCAGTCCTTGCAGTGTTCATGAACAACAGAATTTAGAAATATGTTTCCATCTGTAATGTTCAAGGATGAAGGCTGTTTCTGTAATTTGTAAGCAGACATTGAATGTGCACTATATGCACGTCCATGGAGCTGAGTATATGAAGAGAAGGCAGATAATGAGAGATTAAACAAATGACAAGAACAAAAACCAGAATAACACCAACGCACAGGCTGTATGTGCTCCTCAGTCAAATATCAGAGAAAAGATCAGGTATATATGGCTACACCATCTCTAAATACAAATTCAGAAAACTACTCCGAGCAATAGCTTGACAAGAAAACCTTAATTTCCCCGACTACTAACTTCAACAATAACAAGCGAAAAATCTATCTTATCGATGTCAAGAGAACAAGAACCTTTGTTTTCAGGGGGAGAGAGGTTTGTTTGCTGCAGATGTGAAGCAAATTAGGGTTGATTCTTCACAAATCAGCACCTTAATTCACAGAAAGTATAATCGACGACATGGAGAAAGAAGGGTAGAGAAGGAAGAAAAAATCACAAAAGCAAAGAGAAATTTACCTCCCAAATTTTATTAACTCAAATTTCTCCATAAAATAATAACTGATCTCCCCAAAAACATTTCAATAACAAGTATTTAAATAAACTCAAAACCCTAAAAAGTTCCTACAAAATCCTAGCTATCCATCCCCATCTAATCCTAGCCATCCATTATGAACTTAAAATAAATGACTAATTCTACAGTTAATAAAATTAGAAATAACAACTAAAATGAAAAACAATAAAAACATAATTTCTAACTTACTAAACCCCAATAACCTACAGTTGAAGAACACCAAAAATAAACCGTAAAATCCACAAATTATATCCATTAATCCCCTTAATTAAGATCCACATAGAAATCCATATCTGTCCATCTAGTGTCTGTGTCAATCTCCTCTGGTTGTGAGAAACTCATTCTCGAGTTTTAAAGAGGGGCTAAAATGAGATCTGCATCAAATCCACATCCTTATTTTGCATTCTTCTTGTTTTGGCTCTAAAAGTATGAATGGTAGCACGGCATAACCACAAGCGCCTACCCAGGGCATCAAATTGGAGGCCCCCTCCACAGGGCCAGCTAAAGCTCAATTTCGACTGGTGCTCCCTCTGAAATTCAGGCCCATCAGGAGTAGAGCCATCCTCAGAGACCACCTCAATACTAGTGTGGCTTTGGATTCCAAACATATTGGCCATGGCAACTCTATGCAGGCTGAGGTGGTAGCACTCTTGCAAGGGCTCAAGCTCATTCAACCTCTCAATCTACACTCCAATGTTGTAGAGGAAGATTCCAAGAACACCATTTCTTGGGCACAGGGACCGTCTTCTTCCGCCCCCTCCTTGGTTCCTGGCACAAATGTTTGACAAGATTGATTAACTTTGCAGGAATATGCTCGTCGTGTAGATGTATACTTGGAGGGAAGGAAACCAGGAAGTTGATGCTCTAGCGAAGGAAGCAGCTGCAATGGCTGGAAACTAGAAGACTTTCTTCGTTTTTTCTTGGTGTTTTGTATATAAAGTTGGGCACATAAAGGGGACGTCACTTGGTGTGAGCGCAAGAGCACGGGAGTCCCAAGAGCGGCTACTTTGTGCATAAAAAGCCAAAGGTTAGGAACGTTTCCATCTCACCCCTCTCGGGGCCCTACGTAAGCAGGACTAGCACCGGGTTACGGCCCTTATATAAAGTTGGGCACATCATGGTACGTCAAAAACATAAGCTCAAATAGGGCAAATAATAGAGGGGCGGCTTGAGATTGAAACAATGACCATAAACAAAATCAAAATAGTTTAATAATCATGCACTGATTGAGCAAAAACCAGGTCAAAATACACACTCCTATGGTCTGCTTCCAAACATAATACTATGATAATAAACTGAGTAACGAACGGTAAATCTGCTTGTTTGGTTTTGGGGGACAAACTTCAAGACTTCAAGCCCTTTAAGTCACTCACCCAAAAGGGGATGCTGGCCTCTAAAACAAAGTTTAAGGGACAAGGAACAAGGATTAAAGCTTATCAAGAACAATACACGCCCACGAGTCCCACATACCAATAGATATCAGTTGGCTTGTAATCAAACGCATATTTGAATGTTGTCGCGGTGTATATCATATAACCCCCTGTAGTATGCAAAACACCCTGCTCATGCATCAAAAATATTCAAATCTAGTAAGAAATCACTGTACCGTCACAAGATAAGGTATTAGATGGCATTGATTTTTCTTTGATAAGTGCTGCATGGTATTTTGTGACCCTATCTAAATGAACTTCACATGGTTAGTCACCTTTGGCTTCCCAGTGCTGCCGCTAGTGTACAGGAGAAAAAGTGGATCTTCTGCATCAACCCACTCAATGGTAGACACTGTTGAGTATTTTGGGATGATATCCTGAACCAGTTGATAGTTTTAAGTAAATAATATGGGAAAACAGAAAATCTTAACAAAAGAAACACCACTCTTCACTAGTTGAACAGTAAATATAAAAACTTTTGGTGCCACTGGAGATATGGTTGGCAAACTGAGAATATAAGATCACCCCACCTGCCACCAAAAATCCCTTCCCTCCTGCCATTTTGTTGATTCTCTATTCATGGCTGACTGATTCTCACAAGTAAGGCAAACATCTGCTCATAAAAAAAGGGGTTTTCTTGAGCATATCTGAATGATAAAATACTCATAACTAAAATAAGTGAGGTTATACCTATAGATAATTTATTGACTAAATAAACAATTAGATCCATAATCTATACATTTCACAACTCAAGAAATGGGACTGCCACTGTGCCAACAATTCCAAGATTGAAACTACAACCATACAGGAGGAGAATATTCAGGGATCAATTTTCATAAGAGAAATCAATTTTTAACGTCATCACATGGAATATCAGTGAGACTGATATTTATTAGAAGCTCATTGCAGGATTACTGCTTAATCACTCTCACCATCTAGTGCAACCAATGTTATTTTCACAACAATGGACCAGTCAGTTAACTCATTTTTTGTCAAACTGGATCCATGGATAGTCCAGCAAGGTCCTGCCCCTGTAACTTATTCATCAGGCCAACCAAGCACTAATATACTCAAACAACCAAGGCCAGCCTATGGCACGATTATTTAAATATTAAATAGGATGGTGCTCTTTTGAAGTGTAATAGTAGAGATAAGGTGATTCTGAGAGAAATATTATCTGTTAGAAGAAATAAGTCACCAATCGAGGTAGCCGATAAATGAAAGTCTAGTGCCATTTTAAATATAATAATAGCATATATTGGAAGTCTCAGAAGAGATTTTCATTATTAGAACTTGTGGATATTTTTCACCAAAGACAGAGGCAATGAGAAAAATAGAGATGATCTAACTAAAATGCTCAACTTAAATGTTTGCAGTGCTCTACAAGGACATGAAGACAACTTGGTGTTCCTGCTACTATGAAAAATATATGTTATATATAAAACATGAGCAGGTCGTGACTAGGTGTCAATCAAGAAATTCTTCTTAGGTTTGGAGTTTGGTTAGGATGGAGAATAAAGAGAAGTAAGTTAGGTTTGGATGGTGTACCTACAGTACCTACGTGTCCATCACTCATTACATAGGTCCATTCATTATTGCATATAAATGGACCTAATGCTAACAAAATAACATAGAAGTTGATCTTACGTGCCAAAGGGTGTATGATCTCTCACTACAAACTTCTACTAAGAACTCAATTTAAATGTTTTCTTTTTAAAATATACTTTTAAAAATAGATCCCCATATTTAGCATACATAAAATACTATTAATAAATATTTTTCTTGATGGATCAAGCATACAGTGTGTTCTTAAGGGTGCACTCACTTTAGAAAATATACTTTTACATCTTCCATGTGGGAGTGGTGTACAAGAATTAAATGAACATAAAAGGTGAATTTTCATTCTTCCAAAATAACCAATACTTTTATTGTAAAAGATAATACTCTCCATATCTTTAATAATATAATAATATACAAGTATAGAGTATTTTCTTTAATTTTTCATTCCATTGTTATTATTCTATTGCTATTATCAAATATACATGTATAGAGTATTTTCTTTAATTTTTCATTCTATTGCTATTATCAAATACACAAGTATATAGTATTTTCTTTAATTTTTCATTCCATTATTATTATCAAATTTATTCCTTATTAATGTTTACATAATAATTAAAATCATAAATATAATTTGCAATAACAAATTTTATGAAATAAACTAAAAAACGTTGTTATATCTATTATACTTTGAAATTCAAATTTTACTTAAAAGCTAAAATAAATTAAAATTTATAATTTGATATTAAGAATTATACTTTCACTTTGATAAAATATTTAACAACTTTAATATGAAACAAAATGTTTTATTTAAAAAAATTATGCACTCATGTTATAAATTTTACATTCATGTTATTTCCCATTATTTCATTCCAATCAATAAATAGCTCACACTTTAGTGGCATACTACATATGTTCATTATTGCATATACTATACAAAGGCCATAGGTGAGAAAATCCTAACAACACAACATAAAAGCTGATCTTATTTGACGAAGCGTGTATGATCTCTCACCACAAACTTTTACTAACAACTCAAAATTTATATTTTTCCTTTTTAAAATACATTTTTAAAAATAGATTCACACATGTAGCATACATAAAATACCATCGACAAATATTTTACTTAATGGATCAATTATACAGTGTGCTCTTATGGGTGCACTTTAGACAATATACTTTTACATCTTCCATCTTCCACGTGTTGGGGGAGTCGTGTACATCAATAAATGAACTAAAGTTAATTTTTAAAAAAATAAATGAACTAAAGTTAATTTTCACTCTTCCAAAATAGCCAATATCTTTATAGTAAAAGACAATACTCTCATTATCTTTAATAATATACAAGTATATGATATTTTCTTTAAGGAAAAAGTTTATATAAGGATGTTACCTTATAATGTAGAACTACGAATGCCCCTCAAAAATCCATCAAAAAAGGTAGTTTTAATGTTGAAAAACCCTTTGATTGATCATCTTGACATCGAAATGTATGACCATGAAAATTAAAAAGATTTTAAGCCTCAGAAATAGTGCATTTTACAACATATTATCTACACCGTCCATTTTCAAGACTTTCATATGTTTATAGATCTACTTGATTTTAACCACTTTTGAAATTTAAAATTTTATAATTAGATATAAAAATAGATTTTGAGATAATCCTAGTAACATTTTACATCAAAATTATAGACCATGATAAAATTTGAAGGGCACCGTACCTCTATGCCCACGGAGGCGTCCGTATGCCAACTGCACCCTTTCTTTAATTTGGCACTCTATTGTTATCATCAAATTTATTATTACTAGTTTTTATAAAATAATTAAAATAGTAAATATAACATGCAATTACAAATTTTATGCAATAAAATTAAGACAGGTCGTTATATCTATTACAAATTTTATGCAATAAAATTAAGATACGTCGTTATATCTATTATACTTTGAAAATTCAAAATTTTACTTTGGAAATTCAAAATTTTACTTAAAAGCCAAAAGAAATTGCAGTTTATAATTGTGGTATTAAAAATTATACTCTCACTTTGATAAAATATTTCACAAATTTAAAATAAAACAACATATTTGGCTTAAAAAATTACACTTATGTTACAAATTTTACATTCATGTTGTTTCCCACTAGTTCATTCAAAAGCTATTATTAACTTTATATAAAAATTATGAGTAATGATACTATGAGACCCTCCCACACCCATGTGAGTAGGACCCCAAAGGATCATCATTAAATTTTGATACAGATCCCTAGAAAAGTTATCAATAAACCCATTCACCCAAGTCCTACACCCATGAGATAACTTTTATAGAGATCTGTGTTGAAATTTAATGGTGATCCTTTGGGGCCCTACTCACATGGGTG